CAAGTTACCATAGGAACTCCACATGACATGCCTTCTAAAGTCGAATTCCACCCACAATGTGTCACAAATGCTCCTATAGCTTCGTGGTCCAAAATTAGCATTTGAGGTGCCCATCCCCTTATAATTAGTCCTTTTCCTTCCATCCTCTTTTCAAATTCGTGTAGTAACCACTCATTTTTCACCTCCTCATCACCATTCACCTTATTGTTTGTCCTCACCACCCAGATAAAATCTTGCTTGGAAGCTTCTAGACCCATTGCAATCTCTTCGAGTTGCAAGGTTGAGGCTTCTACTAAGCTACCATGGCTAATATAAACAACTGACCTAGCCTTCTTTGTATTGAGCCACTCGAGGCACTCATGCTCACTAATAGAAGAATCCTTCCCCCTTTGGAACTTAGCTTCTTTTCCGTGGTTGCATAGTGAAACAGGACCTATATGCCATGCCCTCCTACCCATAACCTTGGTATAATACTCAGCGTAATCAGGCTCTAGCTCATAGAAGCTATTTATAATAAACCCAAAGCTCCTCTCCTCAGCATCCTTAGCAAGACTTAGTATTTTCATCATTTCATCATTGATCTGTTTATCTCCTAGCCCTCTCATGGATGGATGTAATTGAGATGTTATAAATTTTATCTCATGAGGAAAGTGGGGGATGACGAATTCCTCCTCATCGGACAAAACTTGTTTGTGAGGCTCATACTTAAATATTGCATGCATCAAACATTGTGAAAAGTAACTAGTGCCATGAAATACTAACCTCGGTATGTTAAATTTTGCTGCTACATCAGTAGCGAAAGGCAAGAACATATCAGCAACTAGGCAATTAGGCTTGTGTTTCTCTATCACTTTCTCTAGTGATTCTTGTAGCACATAGGTGGAATTTACAAACTTCAAAGCCATTTCATCTGAAGTAAATTGCTCAAAGTTTTCGACTCCCTCAGGATAGCCTGCTTCTTTAGAATCAAATGGGATGATTTCAACATCAATTGGAGAACCAACATTCTTAATAACTTTCTAGTGGTTTTGTGAAGATTGGTGCATTATAAGGAGTTGTGACTATGGTAGCTTTGACGTGGTGTGTTGCAAAAATTTTCGCTATGTCTAAGATTGGGATCATATGGCCAGCGGCCATAAGTGGAAAGAAGACTATGTGAAGCCTTTGTGATTCTTCAGCAACCATTTTTATTTTATTTAAAGCTAGGGATTATGTTGCTTAGATTATGTTAATAATGTTATAAAGCTATATATAAAATTGAAGAAAGCATGTATGTACATTCTTATGCTTATGTCAGTCCAAAAGTCAGCATATTTGTTTGCATACTCATATTTGGATGCATGCTCCGCTTTAATATATGGTTTAGAATAAAGATTGAGCCAGAAGTTGCCGTTTCCTAGCAGTTCTTGATAACCTGTGGAAATAATAATGGGAAAAAAATAAAAATTGAAAGACTTGTGTTATTTTACCCTAATTTCACTTATAATTAATAAAGATCATTATGTTTAAAAAAGAAAATATAAAGATCATTATGTTAAAATCAGGGTCACTATACTATAACATAACTTCGACTAAAAATAATATTAAAGGTCACACAAGTATTAATAAATGTCACTATATTAAAAATACTATGTTTAAAATATTGTTTGTTACGCATGTATAGACCCTGGATCCATACAAGATTTTTCCCTTAGCCGGGATTCTTATCTCATAAGCTTCTTCACCCACCAATGACCCTACCCACCATAATTCTCTTATAGCTTTCTTTATATCTTCTTATTTTACATTCTCCACTATTCTATTTCATTTTTCTAACATCGATAGCAACCCCGGTCCTAAAAACTTGAGTCACTAATTTTTCATTATAAAACTGCTCATCAAACACAAGCCAAGTTATAAATTATAACCATAGGAACCTTACATGATATCCCTTGTCAAATATCATCCACAATGAGTCATGAATTCTCCGATAACTTCGTGGTCCAAAATTAACATTTGAGGTGTCTATCCCCTTATGATTAACCCTTTTCCTTTCATCCTTTTCTCAAATTCGTGTAACATTTGCACCCATATGCACTACATGCAATATTGCAATGGGTGGCCGATAAACACATAATTTTGTGGCATATTGTTGTTTGTCTCATTTGAGTCTCATCTTTGACTCTTTGTTGTAATAAGATATATAGTCCATAATAAGGGGTATCTACTATCTAGTAGACCTGGCAATCCTGACCCAGACCCGATCCATGACTCGAAATCGACCCAAAACTAGTGACCCGATATTAACCTAAAACCCGAATTAACCCGACCCGACCCATACCCAACCCGAAGTGGAACTGACCCGACCTTGACCCAAAACTCGAAATGACCCAACCCGAAACAACCCAAGATGACCCGACCCGAAGTTTACCCGACCCGAAAATGATCCGACCTTTAATTTCTTTTAGTAAATAATTATATAAGTTATAAAAAGTTTATATTAGGAAATTATACATTAAAATAGACCCAACAACATCTTACATGACTACATTGACTTTCATATAATAGCTAAAAAAATATGGTCAAAGTGAGATGTGTGAATAGTGTAAAATGTTAAATCGTTAAGAGTAATTTGGGACGGAGGGAGTATAAGAATAATTCAAAGAAATTATTACAACAATGACAATGATAATAAGAGTACTTATTAAATTTAAGATCAATAAGAGAGTGAGGTATAACTCAATTAGTTAGAGCATCCCTCTTAGTTTCAAGAGATTCTGAAAGTGATTCTCAATCTAAAACACACAAAAAAAAAAAAAAAAAAAGTCAAACAATTACTATAATCCATGAAAAAAAAACCTTAATAAATATAGTGAGTTTTTCGTCAAAAAAAATAAAAATAAATATATATACATAGTTGAATTTAACCCAATAAATCGCCTGAATATGACTTGACTCGAAGTTGACCCGACCCGAAAATTGGACTCGAAAATTGACCCGACCCAAAAATTGACCCGATCCAAACTTGACCCGACACGAAGTGTCAACCCGATACCCGACCCGACCCGAAATCAACCTGAAACTCGAAATGACCCGACCCGACTCAAACTTGACCCGATAACCTTTTAACCCGAAAATGACCCGACCTATACCCGACCCGAATGACCCATTTGCCAGGTCTACTATATAGTACTAGTACTTCGTTCCTCTATTTGTATTTTGACCGTTACTATGTTTGGAAATTCTAAGGTACTATTCGCACATCATTATTTGTTAACCTTTTGTGATTTAATTAAACTGAGTATTTCTCAGTTCTCACTTAATTATTTATGCATTTATGTAAAAACCAACTTAGCTATTGAATTTTAAAGTCATATACCCACAACACTATAAGTAATAAAGTACATAGTTTTGTGTTATAAAAAAAAAAAAAAATCTCCGTTTTTTTAGTACTTGCCGCTATGATTTGACTCTTACAAGTCATTTGCTTCACTTTGACTAGCATAGATGATTTATATCTAAGAGAAATTATAGCCATGTTAGACCTTGTTAGATTCGTCTCGATTTATAGCATTTTAATATCAAATGTTTATTATTTGTATATATTATTGGTAATTAAACATATTATTCATTGAAATAATGCATCAACAAGCATGAAAAGAACTTTTTAAAAAAAAACAGAGAATGCTATAGAGGAACGAAGTAACTATTAAAAAAATGTTATAATTGACTACCTAACTTTTGAAAATTGTTGTAATTTACTACCTTACGCCGGATTATGAAGTTTGACCAAAATTTTCCGGCGTTGACTTGGTCACATGACACTTAGTGACCATCACGTGGGAAAATTGTGAGAAAATTTGGGAAAGAAAAGGGTCATTAAGTGTCACGTAACCAAGTCAATGCTGGAGATTTTTGGTCAAACTCCTTTATAATCCGGTGTAAGGTAGTAAACTACAACATTTTTAAAAAATTAGGTAGTCAATTACAACATTTTTCTAATAGATAATTTCTCGCAAATTCTGAACTATAATAGGTAGTTTTTCACAAAATTTCCTAATAACAACGACAAAACTCTCATTAGAATAATTTTGTACCATGATAGACAATTAGACACAAATTTTAAACTGGACATCATCCAAAGTGATAAATTGGTATGCAACAATAACTATTACATCATAATAGCGAAGACTCCAGTTCATTCATATTATATAGTCATCGTTAAAACTTTAAACTACTCTTTTATTGAAGTGACAATTAATTAAATACTTGCATTAATCTACTCTCATTAGGACAATTAATTATAAAGAAAAGTGTGGTATTCATTTGGTCGTCGTTTATACTCTAAACTATGTACACTTTTGTTGAAGTGACAATTAATCACATACGTTGGGAGTAAGTAGGACAAACCAGCTACCATTCAATTAATACATAGCCCCCATTCAATCAATACACAATTAAATTACATTAAATTACTGAAGGCCCTAATTTGTGCATTAAATTAATTACATTAAATCTCCGATCCTCCTTAATGATCTAAATTTTAACACAAACTAGGGCAGAAAAAAATGGTCATTTTTTCTTGTTAATTCATTGCATTGAAAGCAAAAAAGTCCTAGTTAGAAATCAGGAAACATGCCGATACTTAGGGCTTGTTCTCATACATTTATGCTCGGCTCGGCTCGGCTCCTAATTTCCTTCTCTTATAAAATATTCATTTCACGTAAGTTCAGTTCAGCTGATTTCAATCTATTAGAATAGGCCCTTAGCATTAGAAACCAATAAAATAAACAATGAACATAGGCAGAGCATCAAAATTTAAATTATAACTATGATAAAATATCCAACACACAATAAACATCTGAAGGAAATCTGTAGTTGTTCTACATTTGGACAACTTTGACTCTTTCCAATCAAACAAGGAAGTTGTTTGGGTTGTGAGTGCGTAACAGAAGCAAAGATGTATATCTTGTAATGACAAATTCTTAGTGAGTGTGAATTTATTTAGACATTGTGGGAGTTCAATTCATGTAGTAAGGATTGCATGCTACAATGTGATGATCCACCAACTTCAATTCAACTACCATTGTTGCCAATTCTTTCAACTTCTTTGCCCGACTTCTCATCTCCAAAGCCTCTTCACCCACCATAACTTTTCTTATAGCCTCTTTTATATCTTCCCATTTCACATTCCCCTCCACCATTATGTTCCATTGCTTAACAACACCAACACCAACCCCAACCCCAGTCTTTAGTATCTCTACCACCAATTTTTCATTCAAAAATTGTTCGGCAAATACTGGCCAAGTTACCATAGAAACCCCGCATGATTTGCCTTCTAAGGTTGAATTCCACCCACAATGAGTCACAAATGCTCCTATAGCCTCATGATCCAAAATTAGCACTTGTGGTGCCCATCCCCTAATAATTAGCCCTTTTCCTTCCATCCTCTTTTCAAATTCATGTGGTAACCACTCGTTTTTCTCATTCTCACCATTCACATTGTTTTTCCTAATCACTATCCATATAATTAAAATCTTGTTCAGATGCATCTAAGCCCATCGCAATCTGTTGGAGTTGCAAGGTTGAGACTTTAGCTAAGCTACCAAAGCTAACACAAACAACTGACTTAGGCTTCTTTGAATCGAGCTACTTGAGGCACTCATGTTCATCAATTGAAGAAACCTTCCCTCTTTGGAACTTAGCTTCTTTTTCGTGGTTGCATAGTGATGTTGAAGTCAATGCTTCAAGTCTGTAGTATTAGTTTCCTTAGTTATAGGATAAATATCTTAGTTTAAATTTGTTAATTAGAATTAGTCAAATTAAGTACGTTAGTCATGTGTTACCTATTGTTAGTGGACTTGTTAACTAAGTAGTTGGAGTATATCATGGAGTACCCACTTCCTAGTTAGTTGCTTTATTTTAGTTATTTGGTTTATCTTGTAAAGGCTATTTATATGGCCTAACTTTCTATTATTGAATGAATTAGAAAGCATCAGTTCCATATTCAATGTGTTTCCTACTATTTTTGCTTTCTTATTTCCAACAAGTGAGACGGGACCTATATGCCATGCCCTTATACCCATAACCTTTTTATAACACTATAAGAAATAAGCTATTTTGCGACAGCTGAAATTTGTCGCTAAAATAGCCAAAACCGTCGCAAAAATTAGTTACGACAGTCAGCTGTCGTAATTATTTTGTCGCAATCAGCATTGTCGCAAAAATTCATTTTTACGACAGTTTGACTGTCGTAAAAATTATTACGACGGTTTTTACTAATTTCTGCGACAGTTTTATATTTTGTCGTTGAGATTACTCTACGACAGCTTAAAGTCATCGCAAAATTACGACAGCAAAGAAACTGTCGCAAAATTTAACTTTAGCGACGGTTGGCCGTCGCAAAAAAAAATAAAATAAAAAACTTTCCAACCTAGTTCTAGCAGCCGTCTTTCAAACCATTCACCCAAAATATCCCATCCACAAGCCATCAATACCACCCACCGCCTTCACAAACCACCCACCGCCATTACAAACCACCAACCACCACTGTAAACCACCCAATTAAACCCAGAAAAACATAAAATACCCAAAATAAACCCAAGATCTGAAATTAAACCAAAAAAAATCAAAAAACTAAAATAAAGAATGCAAGTACCTGAATATTCATCAAATTGTACAAAAATAAATGAAAACAACACAAACAATAATAATGTTAAACCCAAAAACAATAGTTAAGTTAATTCAAACGAAATAAACCCTTTACTAAAAAAACGAAATAAACCCAAAAAAATCGAAATAAACTTCAAATAAACGACAATCAACCAAGAAAATCGAAATTAAACAACAAAATAACAACAAAATCAGCCATTAAAACCGTATATAACATAAATAAATTGACATAATAAGAAAAATGCTCCAAAGAAACAAAAATAAACATAAACCACAACTACGAAAACAAAAATTACACAAAAAACAACATACCTATATCAAATTTCATCTTGTATGGGCTTTCGGTCAAATTCGACCTTGAAAACTCCAGATCTGGAATTATCATGGTCGAATTTGTCTAGAAAACCCTTAGCTCCGAAACCATTGTCGATTATATCGTGTAATTCGTAACTTAGGTTGAATTTCATGGTCTAATCAAGTTGAATTTATAAAAAATAAAAATAAATTAAAGATAATAAAAACAAAAAAAATGAAATAGCTTAAACATCTTATTAGAGAATGGAGAAAGGAAAAGAGAAAGAGATTGACGCAAAGAAAGTTGAGAGGAGGAGATTGAAGGCTTGAAGTAGAGAGAGATGAAAGGAGAAGGAGATAGGGTACGAGATCCAGAAAGAGAGATAAGGGAGAGAGCAAGAGAAAATAGAGGATAGGCGGCTAGGGTTAGATTGGGAAAGTGGGAAGGGTTTATATACCACTATTTGTTAAAAAAAAAAATGTGTTCTACGACCGCTAAAAGCTGTCGCTAATAAAGACGGTATTGTAAACCGTTGTATTGTAACATTTTTACGACAATTCTAGGCTGTCGTAGATATTTTAATTTTTTTTGCCTTTATTTTAGATACCCAGCGACGGTTTAAATAGTCTAAAACTGTCGTAATTCTACGACGGGGTGTAAAACTGTCGTAAATTTACGACAGCTAGAAAACACTGTCGTAAATTTCAATTTTTGCGACAAATTCATTGGTCGTCGTAATCAAACTGTCGCAATATGCCCGGATTCTAATAGTGTAATAATCTGCATAATCAGGCTCTAGCTCATAAAAACTTAGGGTTCTTTGTTTTTGCCCACTGACGATGGAATTTGGAGTAATTTCAAGGGGCCAATGTACACAATGTCTTTGATTCATTTTTTTTAAATTTTTTTTTTTTTAATTTTGTATGTGCTTGCTCTATTGGGCTTCAATGGAGGAAGGGGGTGAGGAGGTGGGGTGGGGTTTTTGGGTGGATGAGGCTGCATTTGGGGGTGGAATTTTCATGAAAGCAGATTTATTGGGTGAGATGGTGTTGGTGAAGGTGGTAGTGAATTGGTTGTGGCGGTGAGGGGGTGGTGTTGTTAGGGGTGGCAGTGAGGTGGTGTTGGTGAGGGAAAAGAGAAAAAAAATTAAAGGAAGATGGTTTATGAGATCACGTGACCCACACGTGCAATGTCGAAAACCAAGTCAAACACTGAAAATGGGATAAAGGTGTTACTTCGCAAAAAAAAAGTGTTTTTAGATGTGTTTTCACAATAAAGTTTTTATAAGGTGTTTTTTCACAAAAAAAAAGGTGTTATAAAATGTGGTTTTTTTTGCAATTTTCCCATATTATTAAATATGCGAAATGTTTACAAAATCTTTAATACACCTGGTTCACATTAATTAATTGTGGACCACTTATAAAGAGACACTATGATCCTTCTATTAATTAAAAAAAGTTACTATGTTAAAATAAAGGTTATTATGTTAAAATAAAGTTATTGTGTTTTTATAAAAGTCTTAAGAGATTTTCTTTCAAAAAAAAAAAGTCATAGGAGATTAAATTTTTATAATGAAATTTTTTAAAATACGGGTCAATAAGAATACAAAGTTCATCACTATATTAAAGTTAGGGTCACTATATTCAACATTATGTCGTACTTCAAGTTCGCAATAATATCAAAGGTCACACTAATTTTAATTAAGGTTACTACATTAAAATTAAGGTTATTATATTTAATATTTTGGTCATTATTTTCTATGTAAGGTCTTGTGTGTGTATGGACCTCCGGTCCACACAAGATTTTCCAGTTAGTATTACAGTAGTATATCTTCCCTTTTTACATTGGCATACACAATTAAAACAAAAACAAAGGATTTTTTTTTACTTTTACCACCAAAAAAAATCAAGAAATTAAATTGTATTTACCACCAAAACTTTTAAAAGTTTTATTTTACCACCAAATAAAACAATTAAAAATTATTTTTTACCACTTGCCGTCAAAAATCTAACGGATTTTTAAAAAAAAATTATATTTTCGTACCAAACACATGGTCTTTAGGGGTTTGGGGGGGGGCATTGGCCATTTGGATCTAATTTGAGGCCAGGATGGACCAAAAATGATCGTAAATGCCTCATTTTGCGTTTTTTAAAATACCTCGGTTTGCATGAAATACGCAAAACGAGGCATTTCTGACCATTTTATGTCAATTTTGACCACAAATTGGACCCGGCGTAGGATTAATATGCCCCCTAAACCTATGAAGAACATGTCTTGTGCATGAAATTCGAACAAATTTTTTTAAATCGTTAGATTTAACGGTTTTTTAATGGTAGGAGGTAAAAAAAACAATTTTTAGAATTTTATTTGGTGGTAAAATAAAATTTTAGAAGTTTTGGTGGTAAAAAATAATATCTTGATTTTGTTTGGTAGTAAAAGTAAAAAAATCCAAAAAAATATTAAAAAGAAAAATAATAAAAAATTCACGCCTGATATTTTTAATGCTAAGATATAGGACGTACTAAGAATAAGTTTTTTTTTTACATTACCACCTAGTTTTCTTTTTTGAGAAAAAAAAATTACATCTACCTCTTTTCCCAAACTCTCCTTAATGACGTCATAGTGGGCCCTGTATCAATTTTTCTTCTCTCATCCTTCTATTAGAAATTAGTAAAATGAAGTAAAATATAGGCAATTTCTTCAACCAAAAAAAAAAGTAATATATAGGCAAGCAACCAAGATTCAAATTAGTACAATATTACAATATCCAACCCACAATAAATTAACATCTTACAAAGATTTGTATTTTTTAAACAATGAATGAAGTTGTTAGATACTTGGGATATTAAATGCAAAAGTGCAAAACATAACCGATGTAAAGATGTTTAGGCATTATAAGAGCTCAATTCATTTATTAAGGATTGCAGGTTTGAATATGACGACCCACCGTCCTCAAAAGCCCTTATTGCCAATTCTTTCATCTTCTTTGCCCTATTTCTTATCTCTAAAGCCTCTTCACCCACCATAACTTTTCTTATTGCCTCCTTTATATCTTCACGTTTCACAGTCCCCTCCACCACTCTGTTACATTGCTTAGCTCCCACACCAACCCCGATCTTTAATATCTCTGTCACTAACTTTTCATTATAAAACTGTTCGGCAAATACTGGCCAAGTTACCATAGGAACTCCACATGACACACTTTCTAAAGTCGAGTTCCATCCACAATGTGTCACAAATGCTCCTATAGCTTCGTGGTCCAAAATTAACACTTGAGGTGCCCAACCCCATATAATTAGTCCTTTTCCTTCCATCCTCTTTTCAAATTCTTGTGGTAACCACTCATTTTTCTCCTTCTCACCATTCCCATAATTGTTTCTCCTCACCACCCAAATAAAATCTTGATTGGAAGCTTCTAGGCCCATTGCAATCTCTTGGAGTTGCAAGGTTGAGACTTCTGCTAAGCTACCAAAGCTAATATAAACAACTGACCTAGGCTTCTTTGCATCAAGCCACTCGAGGCACTCATGCTCATTAATAGAAGAATCCTTACCCCTTTGGAACTTAGCTTCTTTTCCGTGGTTGCATAGTGAAACAGGACCTATATGCCATGCCCTCCTACCCATTACTTTTTTATAATACTCGGCGTAATCAGGCTCTAGCTCATAGAAGCTATTTATAATAAACCCAAAGCTCCTCTCCTCAGCATCCTTAGCACGAACAAATATGTTCATCCATTCATCATTTATCTGCTTATCTCCTAGCCCTCTCATGGATGTATGTAATTGAGATGGTTTAAATTTTATCTCATGAGGAAAGTGGGGGACGACGAATTCCTCCTCATCGGACAAAACTTGTTTGTAAGGCTCATACTTAATAAGTGAATCCATTAAACATTGTGAAAAGTAATTAGTGCCATGAAATACTAACCTCGGTATATTAAATTTGGCTGCAACATCAGTAGCAAAAGGAAACAACATATCAGCAACTAGGCAATTAGGCTTGTATTTCTCTATTACTTTCTCTAGTGATTCTTGTAGCACATCGATGGCCTTCAAAAATCTCAAAGTCATTTCATCTGAAGTAAATTGCTCAAAGTTTTCGACTCCCTCAGGAAAGCCAGCTTCTTTAGTATCAAATGGGATGACTTCAACATCAATTGGAGGACCAATGTTTTTATAACTTTCTAGTGGTCTTGTGAAGGTTGGTGCATTATAAGGAGTTGTGACTATGGTAGCTTTAACGTGGTGCGTTGCGAAAACTTTCGCCATGTCTAAGATTGGGATCATATGGCCAGCGGCCATAAGTGGAAAGAAGACTATATGAAGCCTTTGTGATTCTTGAGCAACCATTTTTAATTTATTTGAAGCTAGGGTTTATGTTCTTAGATTATAGAGCTACATATAAAACGAAAGAAAGCATGTACGTACATTCTTATGCTTATGTCACTCCAAAAGTCAGCATATTTGTTTGCATGCTCATATTTGGATGCATACTCTGCTTTAACATATGGTTTAGAATAAAGATTGAACCACAGCTTGTTGTTTTCTAGCAGTTCTTGATAATCTTGGAAATGAACTTACGGTCATAACGAGTCTTACGTATGGGAAAAAATAAAAATTAAAAGACGTGTGTTATTTTTACCTAATTTCGCTAATGATTAATAAAGATCATTATGTTAAAATTAGGGTTACTATAACATAACTTCAACGGATAAAAATATTAAAGGTCACACTAGTTTTAATAAATATCACTATATTAACATTACTATCACTATGTTTAAAATATTGTTTGTCACCCACGTATAGACTATGAATCCATACAAGTTTTTTTTCCCTAAGCCAGGATTCTTTTCTCATAGGCTTCTTCACCCACCATAATTTTTCTTATAGCTTTCTTTCTATCTTCTTATTTTACATTCTCCACTATTCTATTCCATTTCTTAGCATCAATAGAAACCCCGGTCCTAAAAAGTTGAGTCACTAACTTTTCATTATAAAATTGCTCCGCAAACACTATCCAAGTTATAACCATAGGAACCTCACATGATATCCCCTTCAATGTCAAACACTCAAACTCCATTGCTTCGTCGACTCGTGGTCCAAAATAACATTTGAGGTGCTTATCCCCTTATGATTAAACCTTTTCCTTTCTTCCTTTTCTCAAATGCGTGTAACATTTGCACCCGTGATATATATGCATTATGCACTACATTTAATATTGCAATGGGTGGCCGATAAACACATAACTTTGTGGCATATTGTTGTTTGTCTCATGAGCCCATCTTTGACTCTTTGTTGTAATAAGATATACTTCCTCTATTCTTTTTCTACTTGACCTGTTTCTTTTATGACACTTGCCAATGCAAAACTTTAACGATCAATAACTTTAATTCTCGATAAGTAAAAACTATAAAAGTTATATATTATGATAGTACTTGTTGAGACAAATATAAAAATATCTTACATGAATATGTTTTTCTTTAATTATTATTCACAAAACACGGTCAAAAAATGAATGGTGAATAGTGTAAAAGTCAAAACGGGTCAAATAAAAAAGAACGGAGGAAGTATAGTCCATAACAAGGGGTATCTACTATCTAGTACTTCCTCTATTTTATTTTGACCGTTACGATGTTAGGAAATTCTAATGTACTATTTGCACATCATTATTTGTTAACCATTTGTGATTTAATGTAACAGAGTATTTATTAGTTCTCACCTAATTATTTAGAGTTAAGTATAAATACAATATTTAACATTTCGTATTTTTCATATTTAAAAACCTCTTTTTTTTTCCCACTTTTAAGGACCTCACTTTACGTTTAAGACCAAATTTAACCAAGGTTAACCCAAGAATTGTTTACATGTTAGCCCAAAATCTATTTACTATTATGAAAACAAAACATGCTGACATCATTATTCTTCAAAACTGTATACGTGTCGCTTTCTTATGATTTTTTTTTTCTACCTAAAACCATTGATGATGTTTTAAAGGATTTTTTTTTTTTTTTATAATTCGTAAACAAGGATATGTAAATTCTTTCAATACCTTTAATCTAGAGAATTGGAGGTATAGTAAATTGAATAGCAATTGTATTCCTTAACACTAATATTCAAAAGTCTATATATTTTCTACATACATTGAAATTGTATTTCTTTCAAGAAATTTCCTTCCAATGAATTTATGATAAAATTTAAAGATTCATTTTACATACAAGTTCTACACTATAATTTTTTGTAAAAATCGTGCATCACACGGGGATAATCTAGTTCAATACTAAGTAATGACAACTAATGTGGCATAAGGACCTAGCGCTTTCTCCTCCCCTGTTCATTTCTTTTCTTCCGTTGTTAGGTTCACACGCTTAATAATCTGGTAAAACATCAAATTAAAGCATAAATTTAGATAATAAAATCACACCTTTACTTCTTCATCAAATAACAAATTTTACAAATACTACACCTAGGATACAAAAAAGAGCCATGGACAGGGCACTCATAAACAGAGAGATACCCATTACTCGCCATTAGCAAAACCAACAGAGCTCAAACTCTCATCAGTCATCACTACTCATAACTATTTCCTCCAAATTCTTGAGCGCTTCCGAGCAAATTCTGGGCAATTTAGCAACATCACAACTCTGATTAAAAGGAATTGATGGTGAAATTAAAAGTTTGAATTTGGGGATATTTTATTGCTTTTTATTGGATTTTTATGCTGATTATTGTGGCCAAATACAAGTTGGTTACTGATATAAACGAATCTTGTTAGTTGTTAATATTAAGGCACGGAGGTCATTTCAGCTGATTTGGTGAGGGATAGTGGAGTAAAGGGTTATTTGCCTATTTGGCAATCGGCGGTTGGATGTTGGCTTGTTTGCTTGACTTATTTGATTAACTAGAAGTATTAGTTGTATGGTTTGGCCTTTTAAGTTATTGTTTAAGTCAGCTGTTTACAAATGTGACTGGTAAAATTATTAATGGTTGTTAGCTGTTTATTAGTGAAAAGTGGACCAACAAGCCAAAAGCCAATAGAAAAAGCTACTCTTATTAGCTTTTGGCTTTTGGCAGAAAAGCTAGCTTAAAAGCAAACAAAAAAGGCAACTACCAAACATATTCTTTGGTTGTTTGACCAAACTAAAAAACAAAAAGCTAGGCAAAAAACCAATTGTCAAACACCCCCTAAATTCAAGTACAGTACTACTAACAGTTAAAAGAAATCCAAAAATTAATTGGTTTCCTTGTTAACTCCGTCAAAGCTACCACCTCCATTATCACTTTTTCATCACTTAAAATTGAAACCTTTAATGGGGAATGTTCGCCTGCAATGGTCAATTCAAAGAAGATGATAAATCCCTAACCTTAGTTAATGAAAACCCTAAAAATAGTAACAGGTCGGGTTAAATTCGGGTTTTGACGAAAACCTTAATTAACATACATTTTTTTATTAATTAAAAGTTCCTGTAAAATTGGTGAATGGAAGAAGGCGAAGTGAGAAAGAATATTGAAGATAGTCAGCACAGTCAGCTTACAGAAGGAACCAACTGAGCTTCATACAGTCAGCATTTGGCTCTGCCAGCTCAGATTCTTCATAACAGAATTCCTAGGTTTCAGGGAGTTTGTTATAGATATTTGTTAAGTTAGTTACAGCTTCTTTTGGATTTCTTACAGCAGGTTCTAGATTCTGTATTATGTATATATACTCTTTGTAAACTGTAATATCATTATTCAGAAATATACACAAAAATTCTGCTCTTATTTTTCTCTCAATTTTCTCTGGTTTTCCAGAATTAACATGGTATCAGAGCTAGCAATTCTCTGATTCTGTGATTGTTTACTGTTGATTTCTTCCTGAAATTCCAAGATTCTTGCTGGTTTTTTTACTGATCTTCTTCTTTTTCTGCTGAATTTTTTGTTGAATTTCTTAGATTTTTTGGCTGATTTTTGCTGAATCTAATCATTTTGTCTCAAGTTTCTTCTTGATCATCAATGGCTGCTGAATCAAACACCTCGAATTTGCCTTTGAATCAAAATCCTGGAAGCATTTACTACATACATCCTTCAGATGCTAATTCTGCTCAACTTTTTTTCGTTCAAGTGCAATGGAGATGGTTTCACTAGCTGGAAGAGGTCAATGCCGCTGACCTTATCTGCTAAGAACAAGGCTGGTTTCGTTAATTTCACTTACACTAGACCTTTGGATGAACTGAGTGCTGAGTTTTTGGCTTAGCAAAGATGCAATAATCTGGTATGTTCCTGGATTCTCTTTAATCTTGATGAATGTATTGCTAGCAGTGTTATGTTCTTGAGATCTGCAAGAGAAATTTGGCTAGATCTGGAGGAGAGGTTTGGTTACACTTCTCTAGCTCAGATCTATGCTTTAGAACAAAAATTAACTTAAATTAGTCAAGGATCTCAGTCCGTTTCTGAATTTTTCATCTCTATCAAATCTGTTTGGGATTCAATTGATGAGGCTCATCCTTTGCCTTATTGTACTTGCAACAAATGCACTTGCAATTTGACCAAACGTATTTTTGAGAGACATCAGCAGAAGATGGTGATGCACTTCATGATGAAGCTTACATAACAATTTTCTACAATTAGAGGCAACATTCTAATGATGCAAGCCTTGCCTAAGGTGACTGAAGTTTACAGAATGTTTGCTCAGGAAGAGAAACACAAAGAGATTTCTCAGCTGAATTCTGGTAGTGATTCCTTGGCATTTGCTACTGACAGGAAGAAATTCAGTCCTGTTTCATACAATAAGTTTGCTAAACCTCAGCACAGTAATGCTAGTCACTGAGCTCATTCCAACTTGCAGTATTCTCAGCTATTCAAGCCTGGTGCTAATGTCTATTCTAAACCTAATTTTGGTGATCAGAAAACTTTCAGGCCTGGATCAAAATTTTTCTGTACTCATTGTGAAATTCCTGGACACAGCATTGATAGATGCTTCAAGCTCAATGGTTATCCTCCTAATTTTCAAGGTTTTAAAGACAAGAAGGTGGCAGCCTTGAGCATTTATGAGAATTCTGGTATGGAAGTTGATTATTTTGTCAAGACTGTTTCTGCAGCTGAATATGATCAGTTTATGGCGTGTATGAGCAATCAGCAGTCTATTGATCCTTCTCATTCTCAGAGTCATGCCATGATGGCAGGTAATTTCTGCCTTCTGTCCTGTTCCAATACTAAGTGGTTGCTTGACAGTGGTGCTTCAGATCATATTTGTTCTGATATTACTTGTTTTTCCAACTGTAAACCTGCTTTTTGTGATAAATATATCACTATTCCTGATGGTAGGAGAGTCTTGATTACTCACATTGGGGTAGTGCAGCTTGATAGTGGACTTGAGTTGCAAAATGTTTTATATGTTCCAGATTTTAAGTACAGTCTTATTTCTGTGCATAAGTTGTGCACGGATTTGCAGTGTGAGTTACTCTTTACTCATGATCAATGTTTTGTTCACATTCAGACAGGACAATCGATTCCTCTTGGTAAAATAAACTCAGGATTGTATAGAGTTCCAGAACAGCAGAATAATGATGACAGTTCTTTATCTGTTTCTTGCAAGACCGCTTGTGTTGCAGTAACTGAGGAAGCAAAGCTGTGGCACTTGAGGATGGGTCATTTACCCTTTAATAAGCTGAAAATGGTTATGCCTGTTAAAGACATTAACCCTTGTACAGACAGTGCTATAGGTACAATTTGTCTAGTTTGTCCCAAGGCTAGATTCACACTAGTAGAAAAATTGCTATTTGTAACTAGCAAATTGACTTTTTGTAACTGACATTGTTGGTTGCGAATGCCACCGTTACAACTAGTGTTAATTATCCGTAACCGACTAATGTTAGTTACAAATAATGTACTATTCGTAACTGGCTTAACCTAACGCCAGTTACAAATAGGCTATTATCCAAGTTAGAAAGCATAATATTTGTAACTGGAGTTAAGTTATGCCGGTTACAAATAAAGTATTATTTGTAATTGGCATACCAGTTACGAATAGTGTTTTTATTGTTTAAAAAAATAATAATAAAATGGTAGCAGTAGCAAATTCCTCTATTGCCACCACTCGTACACTACATTTATATTTTTTTTTAATGTAAAGACCATGTATTGTTAATTACTATCAATCTATTCAATATAAGACCAACTTTAAGCAACGTCTTGTAAATTATATTGAATTGATGTACTTGTAAATTACAAATATTTCTCTCACAATTAGCAATAAATAATACTCTATAACCAAAAAAAAAAAAAAAAAAAAATTAAAAAATTAAAAAAAAAAAACCTAGTTAGTTAACTGATACAATGGTCAACCTTCAAATATTGACGTTTTTGTCTGCTTCACAAATTTGATTGTTCTGTATGGGATAGCTGCAATTCACACTAAGTACTTGATATTGCGACATAATTCTGCATGGGAAAGAAATATATACATAAACAAAAGCCAAAATTAAAAAAGGGTTGTTTCAAACAGTCACCAAGTGTTATCATGAGATAATTAATTCTAATAAGCAAACCTATATATATATGAGGTTTTTACCAGATAAATAGAGCTGCTTGATATACCTCATGAATGGTAGCATCCATGCATAGAAGAGCTTCTGTGGGGTATTCTTCCAGATTAACAAAGAAACACTCAAGGTCACATATACCTTTGTGAACTCTTGATAGTTGAGTGTTAAGGAAAATGTGTCATCTTTTTGCTTTACCTGCATGTACAAAGCATTTTCTTCATCAAGGCTCTTTGATAATTAAGAAATGAAAGACAAAATAAACAAGTCAACATTTACAAAATTCATGCCAATTCTTTATTAACGGCATGTATGATACTTTGGGCGACCACCCACCTATATAGGTGATAAAACATACTTTGGGCGACCACCCACCTATATAGAAAAATCAACAATAACATCTTGTTAGTAAAAGGATGACAAAATCATTAATTATTTGGAAACAAATATAATTAATTTAGCAACACAGGTATTGTGTAAGACTCAACGGACAAGATCCTAGTAATAAGGATAAAACTAAAATATAAAAAGTAAGAAATCTAGGAAGTTATATAGTTTAAGTTGGAAATTTTACCAACTCGGGAAAGAACTTTATTGTACACATTAGAGTATTAGACCACACCACGTGAACACTTAAGATATTAATCTGAAGTGATTGAATTCTTCTAATTGAAATGAAAATTTACAGGTCAAGATACCTCTAAACAACCTCAATTAAGTAGATTATATGGAGGGAGCGATTACAGAACTCTTTTGTCCATCTTCTGGATATTTTACCAGGACATGTAGAAATCTATAGAGGGCAAAACCAGTGCAAACACAAGATCTACAAAGTCCTTGTACTTGATTAGGATATAAGTTAATAGTGCCAAGATGTTGAGACAAAGGCAAACCATGCTGACAACTAAATTCCACTGTATTTACACCAATCAATTCTTATGTGCAAAAAAATTAAGATACAATACAAAATATTGATTCTTAACTACAAGAAGAGCAACAAGAAAAAACAGAGATCGATATCACATACATAACCAAATAGGAACCACACGGAAAACATAAGGGGAAAATCATGGGGAGTAAATAAATTACCAAATAAAGTTGAGTCTAATTTGAGAAACATCCTTCTCCCATCCAGCAGCCCACATTTAGTGTCCCTCCACGGCGATTGCAAATGGAGTGAGAAGTACAAGAGAGAGAATCGACAAACAAGCATAGTAGTTCATCCCACTGACAGACTTCCCTTTCATGCCTTTCTTGGAAAATATGTTGCGGAAGACAAATGCCAAATTTGATATCATTGCTCCCATAAAACCTAGAATGGAACGAACACATACCAAACTTAGCATTAAGAAAACAACAGAATAGACATCAAAGTGGAAGCCCCTAGCCAACACAAAACTGGGAGGTCTAAGTAGAGAACTTCTAAATGCTTGAAATTTTGTGTAGACTTATAAGAAGGAAAAGGTACATTCTATTAAATAATTCCCTCGGGTGTTTTATTTTCAAGAGTCTCTTATGTTTTCATATTTCTATTGTGCAAACCCAACATTAGATGTGAAAACATAAGCGAAATGAAAACATTATTAAAAATTATTAGACATGTTTAATAAATGTTTTGGAACATAATAATCATACCTATCATTTAAAAGTGCACGTATTCAACCAAACCTTACCCCGATGAGATCTCGGCATCTAATTACCCATTGGCGGACCTGGGCTTGTGCCTGGTGGGTCAAGTGACTCACCAGGGCCCAAAAAAAATTCTAAGTTTTCTTTTTTTTTAAAAAAAAAAAAAATAAAAATAAAAAATAAAAAATTCTAACTTCAGCCTGTTCCCCTTTCACCTTCTCCTCGCCGCAGCTGCAACAACATTTCGCGTTCCCCTTTCATTCTCCCTCCTCATTCACTAATGGTCATGGTGGTCGTGAGAGATAACGACTGTGTGGTTTGATTTCTAGGATTTTTTTTGGTGTTCATGGTATGAGCTTCTTTAAACTTTCCCCTTTAAATTTCAAATTTAAGGTTTCTTTGCATAATTACTAGTTCAAATCTTTGATTTTTTTTCGATTTCTAGGGTTTCGATTTGTAACTGTTGGTGGTGGTGGAGAGCAGCGATGGTGAGGTTCGATTTGTGCATATAGATATGCAAAGTAGCTAGAATTTTGAATGTGTTTGGCTTCATGTGTGTTTTTCATTTGCTAATTGCCTAATTTAATTTACGATTTGGGGATTTTTGATGTAGGTTTTCTGTATTTGATTTAATTATGTCATTTTTGTTTAAATTTGTGTTTTGTGCCAGTTTTTGCTCGGAAAGTTGAAGGGGTTTTGTTATCTACTAATGGGTAGTCAGGATTAGCTGATTTTTGTGTGAATAAGGATTGTTTTGAAGTTTAATTAGCTTAATTTATGTGGAATTTGTGCTCAAATAAAGTACTTGCTATGAGCTATCTGTATAATCATTTTGTTTGCTTAAACTAAACAATTTCGTCTAAAAAAGTAGAAATTGAAGATTGGTTTTGAGTCTTTTGACTGTGTTTAGTTATAGTTTTGTCTAATTGTCTTCATTATAATTTTTAAGTCCCAAATGATTTATTTTAATATGATTAGCCGATTAGAAACTGAAGATTGGTTTTAATTAGCCGATTTGGGAATTTTTCCTCTAGAAACTGAAGTTGTGACCGGATATTTGAGCTATCTGAGTTGCCTGTGCATAGGTATTCTTTTGAGAGGTGGTTTCATTACATTTTGGTTTCTTTATGATCTCGCAGATGTAATTTGGACTACAAATTTTGAATCCCTGACAAATAAGACTTTGAATTTATGAAATTATTATTAATAAATTTAGACAGTTTACCCGTAATTTGATCTAGATTGTTTGTGTGGGTGATAGCTGTTTTGCCTCTGCTTTGATTATGGCGTATAGATTCCAAGAGCTTATTGATTATTTGTTCTAAATTGATCTGTTACATATTAGCTGTATGTTTTGCCTAATTGTATTTTAAGAGAACAACTTCTATTTCCACTGTTTTTGGAGTTTATTTGTCCCCGGTTTAAATTTGTGTTTTTTCCGGGTTACAGGCTTGCTGATTGCATTGCTTGTGGGTCTGCTGTTGCAGAGTTGCTTGTTCTGTTGGGGTTAGGAGATCTGTGAAGGTATCTCTTTTGTTTCTGGCATGTACTTTTTTTGTATATACTTCTTACCGAGCTTTATGAGTTCATGATGTCGCTTAGCTATCTGGAATTGTGCTTTTGTTTCTGGGGAATATTGCTTGATTTAGTTGAATATTGCTTGATTTAGTTGAATATGAACCGTCCAACCAATTATGAATAGGGGTAATTCGCTGTTGGGGTTATTTGCATATGATTCATACTTGTGATTTCATTTGTTTTGTTAACTTTGTGTTTGATTAGGTTGTTGAATTTATATGCAGGGAAGACTCAGCTTATCAATCATTTTCTAATCAACAAGAGTTGGTATATTGTTAATTTGCCTGGATATGGGTGAGTCTCTGTAATTTTGGTTTTAATTTGGGCAATTTCTGTAATTCTTGAGTCTATTTCATGCTGGGAATATTGTATACTTGTATTGTGAATCAATTGTTATTCGTGTTTATTCCTGATCATATGCTTGAATCATATTGAAGTGCCAAAAAAGGATTGCTTTTACGCCTTGAGGCATTGCTTCAAAATTATTGATCATCCTGTAAAACATGTTGCGGACTGATATGTATTTAGGCTACATCCGTTGTAGTTAATTGGTCTCCAATCGTGTTGTTTATTTTCAAGTTTAGGAAGTAAATGTCTCCTTACATGTCATTGTGAAATTTTATTTTACATATTTGATTATCGATTGTGACTCACCAGTCGGAAATTCCTGGGTCCGCCACTGTAATTACCTTTCACATGAAATTTCATCACAATCAAAATTATATTTAGACCTTCAGCAAACTAAAATTCCCAATTCTACAGAGGCTAGATTCACATAAGTCAACCACAATTACATGTCTAATAATGAGCAAAAGTACACAGCTAATATTTATAAATAATTTTACTAGATAAATAACTCAATTATAGCTAAGAGGTTGGCTGACCTGATGTAGTATCATATCTAAAGAGCAATTCCAGCAAACTCAAATAATGATGGTGAGGAATTACGATTTTGGAATCATCCCACTACTCGAAACTCTCACTTGCGCTCAAAACTCTCGCCCCCAATCTGCTACTATGAAACCCAAATTTCAAATTTGAAAGATTCATGTTATGAAACCCCTTAACACCCAATAAATTAATTTTTTTTTTTTTTAAAAAAACGAAAATAAACCCTAGAATTTCATATTTTTATTTCTTGATCAAATAATCGGTTAGATCAGTATTAATTATAATATAAATAAATTAGGAGGAGATCGAGGGCGTACCTTGTTGATAACTTCCATTATTGAGTTTTGGAGGAGCTTCAGAGCAGATTCAGAGGAGAATGAAAAAAGGAGGTTGTGAAAAAATGGAGTAATTGATAAGGTAGGTTGTATGCCGTAGGAGGAAAAATATCCTAATTTCTAAAAAAAAAAAAAGAAAATTGTAGTTGCATTAGTAAGTGGCCTTAATCAAACCCATTACATTTAATTAAGTCAATAAAGTTTGACTTGCTATTTATAACTGGCTTTTTTAATGCCCATACTAATAATTGGTCAGCCTATCTTTAACCTAATATTTGTAACTGACTTTGGTTATGCCAGTTACTGATGTTATTTTATTTGTAACCTGCATTAGCTATGTCAGTTACTAATACCCTTGTAGTAACTAACATAATTTATGTCAGTTACTAATAGGGTGTTACAAATAGCATTTTTTGTACTAGTGTCAGCAAACTTCCTTTTCCCATTAGTAGTATAAAATCTAAGAAACCTTTTGATCTTATACATATAGATGTTTGGGGCCCACACTCTGTAAAGACACCAACAGGTTGTAATCAATTCCTGACAATTGTAGATGATTACAACAAATTTACTTGGGTTCATTTGATGAGAAATAAAACTAAGGCTGTTGGTATTATGTCTAATTTCATTTCTATGGTTTCTACTCAATTTGATACTAGAATAAGAGTTATTAGATCTGATAATGCTCAGGAATTGTGTGAGGGAATTATGAAGTCTTTGCTTCATAAATGTGGCATTATACATCAGACTAGTTACAGTGACACATGAGCAAAATGGTGTAGTTGAAAGAAAACATAGGCACATTTTGGAGACTGCTAGGTCACTCTGTATACAGGCTAGGGTTCCTGACAAATTTTGGGGTGATAGTGTTCTACGTGCAGTTTATTTGATTAATAGAATGCCACTTTCTGTCATTGATATTAGCATTCCCTTTCAGAGGTTGTATGGTTTTGTTCCTGATAATTTTCATCTAAGAACCTTTGGTTGTTTATGTTTTATTTATACATCAAAGGTTCACAGAACAAAACTTGATGAAAGGGTTGATCCTTGTATTTTCTTGGGATATTCAGTTAGTCAGAAGGGATATAAGGTTTACAGTCTTGCTACTCACAAAGTTAAGGTGTCTAGAAATGTTTAATTTCATGAGAAACATTTCCCATATCATTTGTTCTTTAAGAAACATGCATCATCCTAATTATGTCTTGTCTACTGCTATCTACCTACCTGCAGTTACTTCTCTTGACAATACAGATGATTTTTCTCCACCCCTCACTTCCAATGCCATTTAGCCTGCTCATGACATTCACCTACATACTTCTTTTGATCCCACACAAACTTTTTCTTCAACTCCTTCCCAGCTAAACACTAATTCTTCCTGTTCTGCTTCTTCTGAATTCACTACTGGTTCAGATTCTTCCTTAAATTCTTCTCAACTTCCCTATCCTACCTCTTTCTTCTTCTTCTTCTTCTTCTTCTTCTTCTTCTTCTTCTTCTTCTTCTTCTTCTTCTTCTTCTTCTTCTTCTTCTTCTTCTTCTTCTTCTTCTTCTTCTTCTTCTTCTTCTTCTTCTTCTTCTTCTTCTTCTTCTTCTTCTTCTTCTTCTTCTTCTTCCTCTATCCAACTTCCTGAACTAAGAAAATCTTCCAGACCTCACAAATTTCCTTCTAAATATGACATATATCAATGTCATATTGCTGGTTCTAATAAACAACAACATTGGTGCAATTTGCTCATGTTTGATGATTTTACTAATGATCACAAGTGTTTCTTGGCAAATACTTGTGAGATACAAGAACCCTACAATTATGCTCAGGCTTCTTTGGATCCTTTGTGGGTGGAAGCTATGGATAAGGAGATCACAGCTTTACTCAGTAATGATACTTGGGAATTAGTAGATTTGCCAAAGGGTAAGAAACCTATAGGCTGCAAATGGGTTTATAAGGTCAAACTTAAGGCAAATGGTGAGCTGGAAAGATGCAAAGCTAAACTGCTTGCTAAGGGGTTCACTCAGAAGTATGGTGTTGATTATGAGGAAACATTTAGCCCTGTTGTAAAAATGAACACTGTCAGAAGCTTAATTGATGTTGCAACTTGCAAAAATTGGCCTCTTTATCAACTTGATGTGAATAATGCCTTCTAGCACGGTGATTTGAAGGAAGAGGTTTATATGAGAGTACCAGAGGGGTTGCCTAACCTACATAACAAAGTCTGCAGGCTCAAAAGATCCATATATGGTCTTAAACAGGCCTCAAGGCAGTGGTTTGAGAAGTTAGTTCATACACTTCTGCTTTTAGGGTTTGTGCAGTCTAAGAATGACTACAGTTTGTTCATTAAAAGTGCTGGAAGCCTGGTTTGTATTGCTGCAGTATATGTTGATGACATCATCTTAACTGGTACAGATGAGTCATCTATGGATCTACTTAAGTCAACCCTTCATCAGAAATTCAATATAAAAGATTTGGGGAGATTAAGCTATTTCTTGGGCATAGAGGTTGGTTATTCTGCAGATGGAGTGATTTTAAGTCAGAAGAAGTTCACTAAGGAGCTATTACATGACTGTAATTTTGCTTTAAGCTCTAGGGCTGTTACTCCATTGCCTTTACACCTCAAGCTTCAGTTAGAGGATGGTGATCTACTGCCTAATCCTGAGATATACAGATGTCTTGTAGGCAAGTTGAATTTCTTGACACATACTAGACCTGATCTGTCTTTTGCAGTTCAGTGTTTAAGTCAATTTATACAGAAGCCAAGGACTAGTCATATGCAAGCTCTTATTCATACTGTTAGTTATGTTGCTAACACTGAAGGGCAGGGCATTCTTTTAAGAGCTGCAGACCAATTGATTCTCCAAGCCTTTACAGACTCTGACTGGGCTAGTTGTGCTGACACCAGAAGATCTGTTACTGGTTATGTCTTGATGCTAGGTACTTCCCCTATTGCCTGTAAATCTAAGAAGCAAAGTCTGGTTTCTAAATCTTCTGCAGAAGCTGAGTATAGAGCTATGGCTTCTGCAACCTCAGAGGTCATCACTTGGTTGATTAGATTACTAAAAGAGATTGGAGTGATTAAAATCTGAAGCCTGTCACTTTATATTGTGATAACCAATCAGCTATACACATAGCTAAAAATCCTGTCTTTCATGAAAGGACAAAACATATAGAAATTGACTGTCATTTCACCAGAGATAAAGTTCTTGAGGGACTTATTAAACTTGCATATCTTCCAACTAGTGAACAACTAGCTGATTTGTTCACTAAAACTGTCCCTTCTTCTCAGTTGAGGTTTTTGTTGTCCAAGTTGGGAGTGATTTCATCAGCTCCCACCTTGAAGGGGGGTATTGAAGATAGTCAGCACAGTCAGCCTACAGAAGGAACCAACTGAGCTTCATACAGTCAGCATTTGGCTCTGCCAGCTCAGATTCTTCATAACAGAATTCCCTAGATTTCAGGGAGTTTGTTATAGATATTTGTTAAGTTAGTTACAACTTCTTTTGGCTTTCTTATAGCAGGTTCTAGATTCTGTATTATGTTTATATACTCTTTGTAAACTGTAATATCATTATTCAGAAATATACACAAAAATTCTGCTCCTATTTTTCTCTCAATTTTCTCTGGTTTTCCAGAATTAACAAAGAATTCATGTTTAGAATTAGCGGACACAAGACCAATGAATATTATACGGATTTAGAAAAGCAAAATCATTTATTTTAATTTGTGATTTTCATTCTTAATATTTTAATTACAATCAACAAACAAACGAAATAATTTTTTTTTACTATCATTGTCCCCACTTGGTTAGATTATTTTTGCTAAAAATAATTTATTAGTCAATTTATATTAAGTTATTAACCCACACACATATCGCGTGTATAAAAGACTAGTATTGGCTAAAAAGAAAATAGAAAAAAGAAAAAGAGGATGATTTTGGAGGGAAGAAATAGCATAGGAAGTGAATTATCTAAAAAGTTTTCAAAAAAAAAAAAGTGAAGTATCTAAAATTGTAGATTGATTGATTCAACTTTGACATAAACTCGATTAGACCCCTCCTCACCGAGTTGGACTCAAGTGCATGAACTAAAAATTCTCTATAAATATTTTTTTTTTGTAAAAACATGTGTCTAATACTTTTTAGGGTTTTATAAAAAGTTATATTTAACTCTATAAAGGCAATAGCAATAAGAGGTTTGTGTTGATGTGGGTTAAGATTTGTGTAGACAAATGGGTTTGTACTTGTTTAGTTGGCAAAAATTGTAAGCTTTTCTTTTTTTCTTTACTTTTGGTTTGGATGAATTTAATGAGTTGTATTGATAGTGGGTCCCCTACATGAACCTGTAAATAGGTTTATCTATTGTTGATAAAAGATTTGTTAGGGAAGAGATTTGTGTAATGATGACGTGTCAAGTGAACAAACTTCTTAAAGTTTTGTTCTATTGTGGATGCCCAAGTTTGTAACCAATCTAACCATTGAAAGCATTTGCATATCATGTCCTACTAGAAGTTAGAATGAGTAACATAAAGATTTGATAACAAAATATAATCTAATACACAAGACTTTATATTAAATTTATTTAATAACTAATTCTTCTGTTTCCTTGATATTGCAACAAGGGGGAAGACGCCATAATTTAGATGCGGAGAGAGATAGAAACAAATAATTAGAGATGGGGAGAATACCATTACATCAAAATAAAAATAATGTCCATTCATCTAGTATCATTTAATTTTAATACGGACATTGAGTATAAAAGTTAAAATAATAATGAACATTAGTCGTTGTTTAAACTTTAAACTAATTAGTGACCCAGGCGATACCTCAGGTTTGTTTCTCTTTTTCTTCTTCTTCTTCTTCTTCTTCTTCTTCTTTTTTTTTTTTTTTTTTTTGGGGTATGGAAGATTGTGAATATCACATAAATATTTTTTTTTGTTGGTATAATACTTTTTTGACTTTGAAAAATATTTATCTTTGATAGGAAAAATTTCAATAAATAAATCACATTAATAACATATCGGCTACAAATTAAATGGGTCAAAGCAATTTTAAAACATTGTAATTATTCGTCGTTCTAATTGAGCCCAAAATAAATACAATCGGTTACAAAACTTAATTTGGGTGATGAAAATTAATTTAATAATTTTTTTAACAACTAATTTAATTTATTTAATTATACAATCAATACTATAATAGAATTAAATTTATCATAAAATTTATTGTACACAAATTTAATATGTACAAGCAAAGTAATCGCTTATGTGGTAATTTGATGACATGGCTAAATAAGAAAAAGAAAGTGACACGTGGCGATATGACACTCCTTGCCTTTGCGTTTTAATAATAATATTGATGATTGATTGTGTTAAATATATGGTACATATTTTTGTATTTAGTCAAAGAGATAATCTTTAGAGAAATTATCTCCCTAGTTTATTGCTTATGTTTAGCGTAACTGATGTAATTAGTTCCTAGAATATTAGTTTTATTGTGGTGAGTATTGGGACAATTAATCACAGACATTATTGGTTGGTGGCTTTTGCCTTAGGTATTGTTGTATGACATTACTTTAGATCTCCTTGATGATGTAAACTGTATATAAAGCCATACCAAATAACCAATAAGTTGTCACCCAATTTTTATTTTTATTTTTTAAAATTTTGACACATTGTCAGTTTTACGAGTCATACATTGTCTTCAAATAATTGAAAGCAAAGAAATCCTAGATTGAGAAATTAGAAACACGCCGACACTTTGATGCATTAGAAACCAATAAAATAAAGGACGGAGTACAACGTAGGCAGAGCACCAAATTTTAAATTAGCGATAAATACGCTAAAATATCCAACACACAAACATCTTACAGAAACATATTAAAGATAGCTAGAGTTCAACATTTGGACATCTTTGAATCGTCCCAATCTAACAAGGGAAATTGTTAATTAGGATTGTGACTGCGTAACGGAAGCAAAGATGTATATATTGTAAACTCTTTTTTGTCAATTTTTTAGCCTATTTTTGCCACCGGTTTGGACTGAATCGGTAGCAATTAAGAGGTGCCTTTTTGATTTTTTCTACTAGTGTAATTTTTATTAAGTGCAAATATATTTAGGCATTGTAAGAGCGCAATTCATGTAACAAGGATTGCAAGATATTATATGATGACCCACCAACTTCAACAGCCGTTGTTGCCAATTCTTTCAACTTCATTGCCCTATTTCTCATCTCCAAAGCCTCTTCACCCACCATAACTTTTCTTATAGCTTCCTTTATATCTTCCCATTTCACATTCCCCTCCACCATTATGTTCCATTGATTAACTCCCACACCAACCCCGGTCTTCAGTATCTCTGTCACCAATTTTTCATTCATAAATTGTTCGGCGAATACTGGCCAAGTTACCATAGGAACCCCGCATGATATGCCTTCTAAGATTGAATTCCACCCACAATGAGTCACAAATGCTCCTATCGCTTCATGATCCAAAATTAGCACTTGCGGTGCCCATCCCCTAATAACTAGCCCTTTTCCTTCCATCCTCTTTTCAAATTCATGAGATAACCACTCATTTTTCTCATTCTCACCATCCACATTGTTTTTACTCATCACAACCCATATAAAATCTTGCTCAGATGCTTCTAGGCCCATCGCGATCTGCTGGAGTTGCAAGGTTGAGACTTTAGCTAAGCTACCAAAGCTAACATAAACAACCGACTTAGGCTTTTTTGAATCAAGCCATTTGAGGCATTCATGCTCATCAATAGAAGAATCCTTCCCCCTTTGGAACTTAGCTTCTTTTTCGTGGTTACATAATGATACGGGACCTATATGCCATGCCTTCCTACCCATCTTCTTTCTATAATAATCTGCATAATCAGGCTCAAGCTCATAAAAACTATTCATAATGATTCCATAGCTCCTCTCCTCAGCCTCCATAGCACGACCGAATATCTTCATCCATTCATCATTGATATGCTTTTCTCCAAGCCCTCTCAAAAATGTAGGTAATTGAGATTTTTTAAGTTTTATTTCATGAGGAAAGTGAGGGACATCGAATTCCTCCTCATCGGACGAAACTTGTTTGTAAGGCTCATACTTACCTAGGGCATGCATCACACATTGTGCAATGTAGCTAGTGCCATGAAATACTAACCTTGGTATATTAAACTTGGCTGCTACATCAGTAGCGAAAGGCAAGAGCTTATCAGCAACTAGGCAATTAGGCTTGCATTTCTCTATGACTTTTTCTAGTGATTCTTGTAGCATCTCGGTGCCCTTCAAAAACCTTGTTGTCATTTCATCAGAAGTGCAACGCTCATAGTTTTCGACTCCCTCAGGAAGGCCAACTTCCTTGGAATAAAACGGAATGATTTCAATGTCGATTGGAGGACCGACATTTTTGTAACTTCGTAGTGGTTTAGTGAAGGTTGGTGCATTAAGAGGTGTTGTGACTATGGTAGTTTTGACATGATGTGTTGCAAAAATTTTCGCCATGTCTAAGGTTGGGATCATATGGCCAGCGGCCATTAGTGGAAAGAAGAGTACATGAAGCCTTTGTGGTTCGTTGGGAAACATTTTTATCAAAATTGAACTTGGGATTGTGTATATTATGTTGTTTAGCTCGTTTATATTAAAGAGCTATATACGAAATGGAAGAAAGAGTGTTAGGCATATTCTACTTAATTTTATAAGAGGTTTAGATTTAGTACGTGATTGAACCCTTGACAAAAGACAGTAGGAAGTTGGGTGTTTCCTAGCAATTCTAGATAATTGGAAAGTTAATATGAAAAGTAAAATAATAAAGTTATCACATTATTAACCTAACTTGGGGCCTGTCACTTCAGTTTCACTTCGTACAGCTCCAATTAGTTCAGTAAATGTAAACAGGCCCTCTTCATCTTAAAAATCAGTAAATTTAAAGAAAAAAATATAATAGAGAATAAAAAAAAAAAAAAATCAGTTTACTAAAAATAATTTCAATTAAGCAAAAATAAAGTGAAGTTGTTAAATATTGGGGAAAAATAGTTTTCTGTATTTTCCATTGTATTTTCCCATCTATCATATTCGGTCACATTACAATATATATAGACAATATGAATATCTAACCCTAATATTCCTAATTATCTTAAGTTCCTAAATCTATCATAATTGACATATATATCTACAAATGTTTAATAACATCCGATTTACACTAAATTAGTGTAAATCAACTCTCTAAACAGAAACAATTTTGTTTCGATCTTGATTCACACATGCCAATCAAGCTTCATTGCCTAAAAATAAAAACCAATATTTTCTCTCTCTTTCTCATTCATTCAGAAAGTTCTTTCTCTCTCTTCTTTCTTCCTCAATTGGCAATTCTATCTCTATTCAACCTGGTTTATGTTTCTTCAACAACGATTATCTCTCTTCTCTTTCACTTGTAAAGTTGTTATTTGCAAATTTAGGTTTGTTTGCTTAATTTTATGAGATTTTTGTTTGTTTTAGTTGTTTTGATTCTTCGATTTTTAGGTTTTTTTATTTTGTTTTTGTTCTTTGTTTTTTATTTGATTCTACAATGGTGAAGAAGAAGAGTACAAAGAAGTCGTCAGAAGATCAAGGTGTGTTTTATTAATTTTTTCATGATTTTTTCAAAATGTTGATTATGTTAATGCAATTGAAAAAACGCTGCAATTGCAAGAAAAAGAAGAAAAAGAAAGATGCTGAGGAAAGAAGAAACGTTGCAAAGGAAGCAGAAGAAGAAAAAAAAAAGGGTAACTTTTATGCATGAAAAGGGTACCTTCCATGGGTAAAAGGGTAACTTTTATGTATAAAAAGGGTACCTTTTGTGGGTAGAAAAGGTAACTTTTATGCACGAAAAGGGTAACTTTTGTGGGTAAAAAGTGTAACTTTTGTAGATAAAAGGGTAACTTTTATACATAAAAAGGATAACTTTTGTGAATAAAAACGGTATCTTTTGTGGGTAAAAAGGGTAATTTTTATACATAAAAAGGGTAAATTTGTTCAATGTGCTATAATGTTGAACAATATTTCGATTACTATTTTCTTATCCCATTCTTTTATCATTGCAATTTGATGAGTAGTAGTATACATTAAATCTGGAAATATTATGCATACCAAACATAATAATATTTATGTTTTCCATCAATTATAACAGAACAATTTTTCAATTTCAATTAATTTTTTTTAACCTCGAATGCGGAATTCTCCATATCCAAATTCGAAATCGATCTTCAAACGGTTGAATTTGATTTCAGTTTTTGCATTGAGTCTAATCGCATATCTTCACAATTTCTTCTGAAATTGATTATAATTCGAAATATAATCTTGAATACAACGATTTTAAATTGGGGTTTCTATTTTCTTTGGTTTTTACAATTTTTTCTTCGAAGATCGGGATAGAAATTGGTAGAGTGTTGGCACGTGTGAGTTTGCTTACATGACCTGATGTACAATATTTTTACTGTAAACCGGGTACATGTAAAATCTTTTGTATCTTTTCACAATAATATCTCATATGATATTATTCTCATAATATCATATCACATTATATTCCTATCTCAATAGAAGTGAACAAGACCTTAATTTTGCTAATGATTTTCTCCCATTTTAATGTTGGAGTTATTCACTTATTCCCATAGTACAACTCCAAGTCTAGGTTCATTGATTTTGCTTCAAAAGATCAAAATTCAAATTTGCTTGATTGATACCATGTTTATGGCAATTAGTTGACTTTGATACCATGATTATAGCAATTAGTTGACTTTGATCATCATATATTTCCTCCTCTCTAGCCGTTTAATACATAGATGGAAGACTAATTAGTATACATGCATAATTTAAGGGTTTTTGATTGATTTCTTATGCATGGTTGCTGTGAAATATTAATTCCCATCTTTTGACTTGAGCTTAGTGAAACTTCTATATAAATGAAGCTCCTCCACTTCTTTTGGGACAGACAAAAGATTACATACTACTCCACAATAAATTGAAGCATCCTCCACTTCACAAGGGATATACACAATTAAAAAGATATACTTCTCTTCTTTACTCCAAAAAATGTTACAAAAAATAATTTCTTGTTTTGGGCATTGATCATTGTGTTCTCAATCTAGCTCTTTGAAATACACCGGAGAGTTAGAGTCGTGTAACCCTGGAGGTCGATTGCTATGAGTCCGTGTGTACGAGTACGGGGCAAATTCGACTTTAGGGCAGTGATGCTATGTCACGCCACGACATTAAATTAGATAAGTTTGTTCTATTATTAATTGCTATTAGTCATATTTCCTACATTTAATTCACCTCCCAAACTGCATTCATTCAATTCAATTTATCTAACATTCAATTCAGTTATCTCTTCTTTCTCTAATCATCTTCCTCCTGTGGCAATTAAGTCAGATCTACCCCGACCACCATCTTCAGTGGCTTGACTCTATGCTCTCTATAAGAAGCTCGGACGACTCCCTGGCAAAATTAAGCTTCGTTGTTGCGAAATAAGACTGCGTGAATTGAAGCCTTTGTGGTTCGGCATCCATTGCATTATAAATCAAGGGAATTTGTTATAAGCTAAGGTTTAATATTTGGGTGTTCCAGTGTGTTTATAAAATAGTTTTGTACAATTTTAAGTTGCTTGCTTAATTACTCAAGTACAATCACTTTGAAGTGGAAATTTTTTTGATCTAGTGCATTATTTTAGGCCATTCCTCACGTGACTATTTGTATTTTATTTATTATTGTATAATTAAATATATGTCCATTTAATGGTCGCTTTGTATGTTCATTATACACGTAGGGCCTGTTCATATTTACTTATTTTCAGTTCAGTTCAGCTCCAATCAGTTCAGTTCAGTTCAGTTCATTTCAGCTCTTAATTTCTCTCTCTCATAAAATATTCATTTCAGCTTAGTTCAGTTCAGTTCAGTTCAGTTCCAATCAGTTCATTTCAGTTCAGCTCCAATCAGATCAGTTCAGTTCAGTTCAGCTTAGCTCAGCTCAGTAAATATGTATATTTCCTCCATTTTGTTTTAGTTACACATTTAAAATTTTAGCACTGTTACAAATTATATTTTGACTATCTAATATTTGTAACTTATATGTATAATAAAACATTGTCATAAGGATTTTTGTTACAACAATCATCCAAAAAAAAAAAGTGTCAACCGATCTATTCCTGATTTTGTGACGTCGAGTTTGCTCTACTAAAAAAGTTTAAACTTACGAAAAAAATATTGTTATTTGCTAATTAGTAATTACTCTAAATGATTGTACCATCATCACTCATGGTATAAAAATTTATACCACCCCTCTCTCTCTACCACTTTCTCACTCCTCCACATCATCTATACCACAATACAATATACTTTCTCCAAAAATCACCCCACCCATGGCAATATACTTTCTCCAAAAATCACCTTACCCATGGTATAAAAAAAGTTTACCAACACACTTTCTCTCTCCTATATGTATGAATTATACACTTAATTAAATTATAATTATATTTTTTTTATGTTGAAAATAACTAATTACTATTTATAAAGTTAATTAAATAAAAATAAGCAATTTAGGTAGAAAAAAGTGAATTCCAAAAACATATAAAATTATATCAATATGGGTGTCTATGTGTATGTCTTGAAAAATTATGAACAATGGTAATTTTTTTTATAATTTTTGACTTAATAATTTTTTCATAATTTTTGACTTAATAATTTTTTCTTAAAATGCAATTGAAAAAAAATAAATAAAATATGTATGACAACCAGGTCATATGGCATGACCTGGTTAGTTCATGTTTCATGTGGAACAAAGTAAAAGTTTACCATGTGATGATATATACTATTTAATGGTATATTTTTATGCCACCAAGGTAGTAAAAATTTGCAACTTTTGGATGAATATTTACATTGTAGTATAAAATTATACCACAAGTGTTTACAAGACGTGATAGAATAGTAGTGACGGATAAAGTCACGAGTTACAAATTATTTGGGCCGTCCTGGTCAAAGAAATGCGAAAGGAAAGGAAGGAGGCCCCCTTAATGGACCAATTCTAGTAAATAGTAAAACTACTAAAATACCCTTTAATTTGTGGAAACCCCTACAATGTGCCGAATGTGGCTCTTTAGAGACCATCAGACCGGTGCCCAAATCCAAAGAAATCTTTCAGACAGGATGCTCTAGTTGCTGCTGCTTTTAGCTGGAATGCCTTGCTTCCCTCTACAGCTAGTGGAGACAACGACTAATAAGATTGAGGACAGGAGAAGACCTTAGCTTTATGACTTTTCTGTTATTAAGACGTTATTAAGACTAATGCTTTCTTATGTCTGCCATTAGCTTGCAGAACCACATATTGGATTACTCCAGTGCGGCACGAAGCCGCTGACGCCGAGTCGGCTCCTATGCCGCTAGCTATGCCCTGAATTTTTCTTCGCCACTAGTGGCAACGAAGTTCTTGGTAATTAGCAAGGAGGAAGGAAGATCTCCACTCATTTCATTCAGTGCCTACGGTAAGGCAAGGCGCGACCCACAACAAAGGAAGGGGGAAAGCTTGCTTGCTGTAGCCCTTTTTTAGTAGACTAGGCTTAGTGCCTGTAATCGATTCTCGAACAGTGGCGTATCCAGGATTCTAAGTTAGTGGGTTCGGATTTTTTTTTTTTAAAACTAGAGTAACTAACACGTGCGATATATGTACAATAGCTAGCTAGCTAGGTTCGGGGAGCTTCAGTTTGGTCATGTGTCACAACTTTAATCTTGAAGGTGTAAATACATTTAAGAAAATAACTTTATTGATTCCAATGATATTTCTAGAAAAAAGAGATTCATTGTATCTCAAAATTAACTTTTACCATATGTGAATGAACCTCTTAATATTAGCTTTGAAAAAGGATGGAATAGTAATCCCTCAAAAAAAAAAAAAAAAAAAAAGAGGATGGAATAGTAAAGAATAATAATAAATCTAAAAAGAGTGACGTATTAATCGACTCTCGAACAGTGGCGTATCCAGGATTCTAAGTTAGTGGGTTCGGATTTTTTTTTTTTTTTAAACTAGAGTAACTAACACGTGCGATGTATGTACAATAGCTAGCTAGCTAGGTTCGGGGAGCTTCAGTTTGGTCATGTGTCACAACTTTAATCTTGAAGGTGTAAATACATTTAAGAAAATAACTTTATTGATTCCAATGATATTTCTAGAAAAAAGAGATTCATTGTATCTCAAAATTAACTTTTACCATATGTGAATGAACCTCTTAATATTAGCTTTGAAAAAGGATGGAATAGTAATCCCTCAAAAAAAAAGAAAAAAAAAGAGGATGGAATAGTAAAGAATAATAATAAATCTAAAAAGAGTGGCGTATTAATCGACTCTCGAACAGTGGCGTATCCAGGATTCTAAGTTAGTGGGTTCGGATTTTTTTTTTTTTTTTAAACTAGAGTAACTAACACGTGCGATGTATGTACAATAGCTAGCTAGCTAGGTTCGGGGAGCTTCAGTTTGGTCATGTGTCACAACTTTAATCTTGAAGGTGTAAATACATTTAAGAAAATAACTTTATTGATTCCAATGATATTTCTAGAAAAAAGAGATTCATTGTATCTCAAAATTAACTTTTACCATATGTGAATGAACCTCTTAATATTAAAAAAAGGCACTAGCAAGAGTCGAACTGCTGACCTCAAGGGATTGAACGAGTTAGGTTTAACACGCTGACCACCAGGCCACTTCAATTTAAGAGTAATTTACTGCATGTGCTTTATTTATAACATAGTTTTATTTTTTCTTTTAAACTACCAGATTTAAGAGTAAGTTAAACGTGAATCCGCCACTGCTCTCGAAGTGATAATTAACACATGGCCCATGGTCACCACTAAAAAATGGGTATATTGAATAACACTTTGTTTGGATAGGAAGAAATGGAAGGAAAAGAAGAGAAGAGAAATGGAGGGGGAAAAAATCTCTTGTTTGGGTAAAAGATTGGAGGAAGGAAGGGGATGGAAAGGGAGGGATCCATTTTCCCTTTCTCTATAATAACCATAATCTCTCCAAAATTGGAGAGATTTGGAGGGAAAATGGAGCTTACCTCCCCCTCCCTTTCTTTTCCCTTCCCTTCCTCCATTTTCCCTCCCTTTCTTTTCCTTCCTTCTTTGCTATCCAAACAAAGCGTAAGCTTCTAAAATCGGGTATTGTATACACAAACATTTATTAAATCATTATAATGATTAAAAGTTACCCTATAATGAATGAAAGTTACCCATTATATATAAGTTTTCCTAATATAAATAAATATTATCAAAGCTTTATGTATAAAAATTATCCTAAATTCAACAAAAGTTACTTTACTATACATCGGATGTATACGAAACTTTTTGCACTATATATATACTGAAAAAATGTGCACTCTTCATCCCAAAAGAAGTGACATGCCTTGGCGGAGCTTGACTTCGGTTAATTTTATGCTAATAATCCGGCTCGCTAAGCATCCTTTCACCAAAAAAAAAAAAAAAAAAAAAAAAAAAAAAAAAAAGACACATTATCCCTTTATTAGTATTCATATACTAACTTTGAACATAATTTTAATAACGTGTTAGAATTTTATAATTAAATATTCATTAAATATGTTGTTAAGTAGGTATATATATAATGTTTAATTGTATCAATTTTTGTTAATTATGTATTTTAATGTAATATTGATACGTTGCCCCCCTATTAATAAATTATGGTTCCGCCACTATATTTTATAAGGATATACTTGTTAGAGGACCAACTTAACTAAAATCTTAAGCTGATGATTGAAGCCGAGGAATAATATGTCTTATACTCTATAGCATCCTCTCAAGTAAGGGGCTTAAAGTGTGGATGTAGCATAGACCCTCCTCTTACCATGTGCTTAATATTCCACTTTGAAAGGAGGGGTAGATAGGATACGAATTCGTGACCTTTGTGTCACACCGGCTTTGATACCATGTTAGAGAATTAACTCAACCAAAAACTTAAGTTGATGGTTTTTATACTCTATTAATACTCCCTCCGTTTTTTAATAAGTATTACACTTGTTTTTTTTGGCAAAAAAACTACATTTTAATATTATATCATTCTCCTTTCATGATCTTCACTCGAATCTACTACGATTACTAAATTTATTTTTATTATTTGTTTTCTCTCACATTCATTACTTTTCAATAAATTATTTACTACACTATTTTTTTATTTTTATTTTTACTTTTTTTTTCATTTTCTAATATTCCAACTACCCCACTTCTTATTTTATTTAAGTCAATTAAATTACATTGCCTTAAATTATTATGTGTTATTTAAGTATAATACTTATTAAAACACATAGGGGGTACCAACACCAATACAATCTCTATTTTTTATTTATTTATTTATTTAATTTTATTTTTTTACCATGAGGCAAAACCCTTACCACTAGGCTTTGGTTCGCTTATGGGATTATGTTGCTTTTTACTTGGCTTATATTTTAGCTATATATATCGTATATGAAATGGAAGAAAACATTTTAATTTTTTTTTTAGACCAAGAAAACATTTGAATTAAGCTTATATGCTTATGTCACTCCACACATATGAGCGTATTTGTTTTGCTCATACTTGAATGCATACTCCAAATTTAGTTTTCATTGAAAATTAAAAAGTGACAATTTTACCGGACATAATAATACATACAAACCGAAGGAAATACAATAATCCCAAGAAAGTACTTATTATCAAGGAGACCACACTTACATTAGAACTGAACAAGTGATAAATTCGATTTATGCTATTTATTAAGTGTCAACAATAACCTCATCATTTACGAGCTCAATTCTTGTATTAAGGAATTCATATCACAATAAGATGATCCACCAGCTTCAACAGCCTTCCTTGCTAACTCTTTCATCTTCTTTGCCCTGCTTCTTATCTCCAAAGCCTCTTCACCCACCATAATTTTTGTTACAGCTTTCTTTATATCTTCCGATTTTACATTCTCCGCTACTCTACTCCATTTCTTAGCTCCGACACCAACCCCGGTCTTCAAAACCTGAGTCACCAACTTTTCATTATAAAACTGCTCGGCGAACACTGGCCAAGTTACCATGGGAACTCCACATGATATGCCTTCCAATGTCGAGTTCCACCCACAATGTGTCACGAATGCTCCTATAGCTTCGTGGTCCAAAATTAGCATTTGAGGCGCCCATCCCCTTATAATTAGTCCTTTTCCTTCCATCTTTTTCTCAAATTCATGTGGTAGCCACTCTTCATTTTTCTCGCCCTCACCATTATTACTCCTCCTCACTACCCATATAAAATCTTGTTCGGAAGCTTCTAGGCCCCTCGCGATCTCTTGGAGTTGCAAGGTTGAGACTTCCGCCATGCTACCAAAGCAAACATAAACAACGGAATTAGGCTTCTTGGAATTGAGCCACTTCAAGCACTCATGCTCACCAATAGAGGAGTCCTTCCCCCTTTGAAACTTAGCTTCTTTTTCGCGGTTGCATAGTGAAACAGGACCAATATGCCATGCCCTCTTTCCCATAACCTTTGTATAATAATCAACATACTCGGGCTCAAGCTCAAGAAAGCTATTCACAATGATGCCATAGCTCCTCTCCTCGACCTCCATAGCACGACCGAATATTTTCATCCACTCTTCCATACCTAGCTCTTTAACATCAGCTACAAGCTGAGTTCTTGTAAGTCTTATTTCATGAGGAAGATTAGGTACAACAAATTCCTCATCATCACATGTTACATCTTTTTGAGGCTCGTACTTCATCAACGCGTGCCCCACACAAAATGCAAAGTAGTTACCTCCATGAAATACTAACCTTGGCACATTAAATTTGGCTGCAACATCAGTAGCAAAAGGATATATCATATCCGCAACTAAGCAATTGGGCTTGTATTTCTCCATGACTTGTTCAAGTGACTCTTGTAGCAACTCGGTCGCCTCGAAGAATTTTTTAAATAATTCATTAGACGATATTTGGTCGCCACTTTCAATTCCCTCCGGAATACCACTTTCTTTAGATGGAAATGGTATGATTTCAACATCGATCATTGGTTGAAGTGCTTTAGTAAAAAATGGTGCGTTGAGAGGGGTTGTGATTATGGTAGTTTTGACATTGTTGGTTGCAAACAACTTGGCGATGTCTAAGGCTGGGATCATATGGCCGGGAGCCATAGCCGGAAAGAGGACTACGTGAAGCCTTTGTGGTTTGTCATCCATTATATATTTATCAATTTGGAAGGAAAATTATTATATTTTGGGTGTTACTTTGTGTTTGTGGGATACATGAATAAGCTAAGTTGGTAAAATGCTTGGTTATATACTCCGATTGTTGAAGTGGAAGAAATTGATTCATTAGATGTGACATCCACATGGTGGAGTAAACACGGTAGTTTTAAGGATCATATCAAAACTAGATGTTAGATACTTGGATCACGAGGAAAATGTGAGAGGGGGGGGGGGGGGGGGTGGGGGGTCCAAATCTTCTAGATGGAGAGAAAATATCCCAAACACAAATTTTTTTACCAATTATTGATGAATATATATATAAGTACTTCCTCTGTTTTTAAATACTTGTTCCATTTCTCATTGTTTGGAGTTTTAGGATAAATTGAAAAAAGTAATAAAATAAGGAGGTAGTGGGAGGATCTTTTACCAAAATGGCTAATTTGACAAAAATATTTACCAAAACGGCTAATTCTAAAATTTAATTCCCAAACTAGCTAAACTTATTGATTTGAAAGGATATTATTATTTTTTATATTCCTTTGAACCGATTCGGTTCACTTTATGTTTTTTTTTTGTTTTACTTAAAAAGAATTAATTTTTTTTTATTTAAATTTTGGTTTTATTTAAATTATAATGTCATAGTATAAAATATCTCATTAATTTGAATCATAACAATCAACATAATATACACGTTGCAATTCTCAATTTTTAAAAAAGTTACACAAAATAAACAACCACTCAAAATATCCATATTAGCCGACATTAATAAAGTGTATACAATTAATAGACATGAAAAAGATGAACAATACTTTAAAATCACTTATCGTCGTATAAATTTACGGTAGCCTTGATAGAACAATACTTGAAATTCCAAATTTTTGTGATTGATATGTCCAAGATGAAACATTAGGGCTTATTATTATTTATTTTTTTCAATTGAAATTATGGTTCTGCGAGTCTGCAACAGTTTATGTTCTTCATAGTTTTGTATATTGCTTAAATTTTTCAACTTAAAAAAATCTTTAAGGAAATAAAAATAAAACCAAAAAAAAAATTAAAAAAAAAAGAAAGAAAGTGAACAAAACCGGTTCAAAGGAAATAAGAAATAGATAAATTCCTTCCAAGTTAATAAATTCAGGGATCTTTCATAAAAAAAAACTTAATAAATTAGCTAGTTTGGGAATTAAATTTGATAATTAGCCATTTTGGTAAATACTTTTGTCAAACTAGCCGTTTTGGTAAAAGTTAAAAAAAAAAAACAAAAGTAGTTACGAGAATTGGAGGGGGGAGAATATGAAATTAATAAAATATATTTTATGTTGCTTATATAGATGAGAGAAATGAATTAAATATTATAAAATATTTTCAAATAAGGAAATGAAGCAAGTATTTAAAAACGCCCGAAAAAAAAAGTGGAGCAAGTATTTAAAAACGGAGGAAGTATTTATCATAAAATATATTGTTGGTCAGGTATTAAATATAAAATTTATTAATATAACTTTTAATTTATACTAATCATTAACATTCAATTTTACAAAAATATGGTCAAGCTATTACCTTGATATGTGTAACAAGTTTAATTGTGTTATTTATTTTGAGATAGTCGGAGTATTAAAAATATAACAAGTAATTATTTGCTCTACGTATAAAATTATAAGTAAAGAAAGCTTATGTTATCATCAAGACAAATAAAAATTGTTTTATATAAATAAATTAATAAACTATCTCATTTAATATGACATTTTTATATATAAAACAATATTTATAAAGCATAAAATTTTATTGATTTATTTATAAAAGTATCACCAGATAAACTTTTCTTGTGTATTAACCATAATAAAATAAATAAAAATTTGAGAATCATATCAAAAGTAGATGTTATATACTTAGATCTGGAGGAAGGGGGGGGGGGTGTGTGTTTCCAAATCTTCTATATGGAAAGAAAAGATCCCAAACACAAATTAATTATCAATTACTCTCTCCATTTTTAAATACTTGCTCCATTTATCTATGCGCATAGTTTTAGAAGAAATTAGAGAACGTAATAAAATATGGAGGTAGTGGGGTAGTTGAGAGAATAAAAAATTGTAAAAAACAAAAGTAGTGCAAGAATAGGAGAAGAGAGAGTATTATGTTGGGTCCACTAAGTGTGTAAAATGAATTAAATATTGTAAATTATTCTAAAAAAGAAAATGGAACAAGTATTTAAAAACGGTCGGAAAAGAAAAGTGGAGCAAGTATTTAAAAACGGAGAGAGTATATGCCAATCATTGATAAATACTGCACTTGCTGATGCAATATTGTAACCGGTGACCGAAAAACTCAATATTTTTATTACTACCTCAGTTACATATTATTTGCAACAATTTAACATAAAGTAGAGAGGAAAAATGTCTAATCGTTGCAAATAATGTATAACGGATATAGTATAATGGGTTGCTAAATAGTAGAATACCATAAAAATTGTGATACTAGATGACAATAAAATATTGAGTCAGTCTGTCACCCATTACAATAGTGCATCGGTAAGTGCAGTATTCATCAATGATTGATTTATTGGCATATAATTGGTGCTCGTAAAAAATTTGTGTTTGGGATATTTTCTTTCCATCTAGAAGATTTTGACCCCCCCACTTTCCTCGAGATCCAAGTATCTAACATCTACTTTTGATGTGATCCTTAATTTTCTTTTTATTTTATTTTTTTTTATCATAGTTAATATTTATCTAGTGGAACTTTTATAAATAAATCAATAAAGTTTTATCAAAACGTGCTTTATAAATATTGTTTTATACGGAGTATATAAAAATGTCATATTAAATGAAATGTTTTATTAATTTATTTACATAAAACAACTTTTATTACTCCCTCCGTTTTTAAATACTTTGCTCCATTTCTCCATGCGCGGAGTTTTAGGAGAAATTGGAGAAAATAATAAAATATGAAGGTAGTGGGATAGTTGAGAAATAAAAAATTGTAAAAAAACAAAAGTAGTGTAAGAATAGGAGGAGAGAGAGTATTATGTTGGGTCCACTAAGTGTAAGTAATGAATTAAATATTGTAAATGCTTTCCAAAAAAAGGAAATGGAGCAAGTATTTAAAAACGGCCGGAAAAGAAAAGTGGAGCAAGTATTTAAAAACGGAGGGAGTATTTGTCTTGATGATAACATAAGCTTCTTTTATTTAAAATCAACTTAATACTAAAAGCGAAACCAGTGATAACACATGTCATTCACTGGTTAAAAATCCCCCCCCCCCTTTTATCTTTCCTTTTTTCATGAAAAATATTTATAGCTTATAATAATATTTACTTTCCATTTTGGAGATAATATTTTTCCATACACACTCAAACGAAATATTTTTATATGTATATATTTTACAGTAATTTTTTTTCTATTATTTTAGTATATAATTGTTATATTAATGTTATAATTCACTATGTAATTTATTTAAATCCGTGCATTTAACTATATATATATATATATATATATATATATATATATATATATATATATATATATATATATATATATATATATATATATATATATAGGCTTCGTTTAAAGTGCGCCTACGTTAAAAGCATGTTGTGAATATGCTTGGCACTCATAGGAAGTGGGAATTGACATTACAACTAGGGACAAATAAAGTAGGGAGCCGCCAACAAGTTTTTAAGGAACTTGTAAACCATTCACGGATCATAAAAAGGCAACCACGATAAGGGACAACGATAGGCAACAACGATTGACCCGTGAAGGTTACACCCCATTCATAATCCATGAGATTATTAACTCCATATGGTTCGGAACCACGAAAGGAGGATCGGGGATGATGGTACGAAGTGAGTCATGGAGTCACATTCGCCCGTATTGGCCTCTACTCGATTCTTATATTGAAAAGCATTCCTGTGATCTCAAAGGCATATAAACAATAATTCAATTCGCTCCAAAATATTATTTAACTAAATTGGTTCAAAATTAATGCACACATAATTCTAAATATTTGGTGATCACTTCTATTAATAATAAGATTAAAAAAGAACCTAAACCGGTTGTCCAAATTATCTTATTAGTCGTGATTTTCAATTACATATTCCCCTTAAACATGCAATATGGTGATCAAAATAAATAATAGAATCAATATTAATATAAAAACCAATTTAATCATAATTCCAACAACATAAACATCGTTAGAAAAATAACAATAGTAACAAGAGCATGATCCTTACTTTGAATCTGTTTGTTTGCAACTACAAAATAATAAACGAGTTAGTAACTTCAAGGAAATAATAAAAACAATAATTAAATTAAATTAAATTAAATAAGGTTGATTTTGGGGGCCAAACCCTCAAACGATTCTACCTTTCACGCCTTGGTTTAAGGACAGAACCTCGAGTAAAATATGGACTCCTTTGAGTGCTTGAAGAAGGAATTTTGAAGTGAAAAGGATAGGCTAGTGTTTAGGTTAAGAGCATAGAAGAGAGAAAAATAAGAATAATCGAATTCTGGTTGCCCCGTACATCAGAAATGAGGGGGTATTTATAGGGAAATGTGCGGAGGGAGCACACGGAACCCTAAAATGATAATAACCCTAAAAAAGTATCCCGTGACACGGTCAGACTGTACCGTGACACGGTCAAACTGTACCGTCAGACGGTACAAGTTCCCGTGACACGGTCAGTTTTGGAGTGACGCTGGAAATTTTCAGAAAACGGAACGGAAAACGCGTTAAGGGTTTATGCGGAAAGGACATGGAACTTCCCGTGTCACGGAAGACCTCCCGTGTCACGGGAAGTCCCACCGTCAGACGGGAACAGTTCCCGCGACACGGTCAGTTCCAGTCCATTTTTCCGTCTAAATTCATTTTTAACCCTATTTTCTTTCGGCTTTTTAAGTGCCGATTGATAATTTCGGGCTTTTTTCTGACTTTTATTATTCGGGCTAAAATAAGAAAATAATAAAATAAAAATAAATAAAATATTTGGGCCAAAAGTAAATAATAAAATAATAAAATAAAAAGGTTTGGGCTTCAAATTAATTAACAAGTTAAAACTATGCTTTTACCAAACACCAAGACTGATCCATGGATCTTTCAAAAATATGGATTTAATAAAAATACGA